TCGAGGTATATTTTTCGAAACTGGATGACACTTTTTTTCTTCGACCATCTTTTTTTTTTGGAGCAGTCTAAGGGATATTAATAACTCAACCGCTCATATTAGTTAACTACAGTGACAATTGTCACTTGTTCGGAGTGAATGAATTACTAAAAGTATAAATTGAATCATTGACAACGAAATGGAATGAATGGACAAAGTCGCAAACGATTTGAATGAAAAAGAATCATTTTGGAGCTTTCATTCCGATGATCATTTAAACCTTGTGCCTCAAACCATTTATAAAAAATTGCGATTGAAAAATGTGACATTTCATCATACGACATCGGAACGGCGCAATCACATCGAAAGTTGATATAAAAACATATACTAAAACCTCCCCTTAGTGGAATCGCATGGTTTTAAAATATTTATGATCATTTGGAGAGAATGTTGATGTGTGCAACTATCGTGAGTACCTCACATAGACAGGTTTTACTGTAATTGAAACAAAGAGTTGTCGAACAACAACAAACTCATTCGTTCTGTTTATGTTGAAATGTAAACAAATTAGTATTAGGAACTGTTCGCTGTACGTGCCTCGCAAATGCAAAAAATCCCCATTTTCCCATAAATGTTAACAAAATCTGATTGGATTGAATCATATCGGATTTTTTGGCATTTCTCTTCGCACGTAATGCACTAAGTGCTTATTGGAAGGGATACGTTCGTTTGAGATGAAAATCGCACGATCGAACGTGAGAGTGAGATACACGTACGAATAACATGTGATTAGAAACTACGTGTCAACTAGCACCAGATTTGATCGTTGATATTCCTGAATAGATTGAATTGAGGCTTCATTTTCATGCTAGAAAAGTATGCAAATTGAATTCTATGACCTTTAAATTTACCTGAAATGGATATAAAGTATCATTTTCTAATCAACAATGCCTTGAATGCCTTGACAAGAGTTATATAGAAGATCGTGTTTTCGTTTACGATCGAATTTTTTTTGAGTGCGATACTTTTTTTGAAGAAGAATCAGCAAGATTATCACAAATTAGTGACATCATCATGAGAACGTACAAACTCGATTCGAATGAGAGTTTTGATTTCGTCAATCAAACACATTTTCCAAACATCATTTGTTTCTTTCACTAACCAAGAAATTTTCTGCAAAAAGAAAACTCTGGAATAAAAGCCAACACTCTTCTCTTTTTCGTTTCTATTTCAATTGATTTCTGTTTTGTTTCATTCAAAAATACAATTCAAATTTAAAATGGTATTGGTGGATTGTTTATGGTGAAAAAAAATGAAAATAATTTCAAACTGATTTCAAATTCTTAAATTGAAAGTGTTTCAAGTGTATCAAATCATAAGATCAATTAATGGGTCTATTTAATGGAATTATGGGAAATTGTTTTCAAACTAAATTATTGCGTGACTTTTTTCTTCAACAAACGGTGAATTGTTTTCATGTGTGTATCTTCATCACCTTTCCTGACAAAGCTTGTTGCACACACCGTGCATTGAATTCACTCCCCAGTGTGTCCTTTCCGCATGTGAATCTTCAAATCTCGTCTGTCCCGACAATAATCTTTGCACAAATAGCATTGATACCGACGGTGGCCACAGCTATTTTCATGAACCTCTTTTGCATCCTCAGTTGCGTATCCTCCGAAGCACTTGGAGCATTGGAATGGGAACTGATCGCTGTGCGTTGATGACAAATGACGATTTAAATTAATCTGTTGGGCGAATTGTTTGCTGCAAATTTCACATCTGATCATTTTTCGTTGGCAGCGCGTTTCATGTGCTTGCTTCTCTTCCAGAGTTGCAAATCGTCGACTACATTTTGCACAAGCGTTCGGCACCTCATCAATGTGAGTCATTGAATGAATTCGGAGATTATCGTTGCTTCTAAACGACTTGAAACAAATTGAGCACTCGAATGGCTTTTCCCTGGTGTGCGTCCGAATATGATCTGTGATATGTGATTTGTACATTGTTCTGTATCCGCAAATATCGCATTCGAATCGACGGGGATTACATAATCGTTCATGATCGATCTTGGTTGATTCTTGTTCAAATCCTTGATTACATTTTGAACAACGAAATGGGCCATGCGATTTCTTATGACGGTTCAAAGTACCTTTTTGTGCAAAGGACTTCAAACAAACATCACACTGATATGGCTTTTCTCCAGTATGAGTTCGCAAGTGTCTTGTGAGATGAGATTCACTGGGTGCCATATGATTGCACACATGACATTTGTGCTTCTTTTGCTTTTTGGCCGCTTGATTCCTGGGCATCGATCGTTTGTTTCGCTTTTTGGAGCTTCCATTCCACTTCTTCACGTCATCGACTGGTTGAGCATCGACTGATCCATCATCGTTGGCGCTGTCATTCAATAGTTCATATGGTGCTGAGTCCATTTCTTTGCATGTCTCTTCTTCTTCACATTCGATCTCATCCTTTACCTCATCGAAGTCATATCCAAATTCGAACGGCCCCTCGTAATTTGCTCGATATGTACCATCAACTCGCGGCCGTGGTACGTTAAAAACGCTATCACCGTCGTTCGGCTCTTCCTTGAAACCAGGCTCTTGCTTGACTTCAACCTTTGCCAATTTTGATGTGCGCTTGCTGCATCTACCAGAAATACCTTTGAATGGGTTCATTTTCTGTTGGATTCGGAAAAAATATCAAAAATCACTAATTAAAATATGAAATCACGTATTAATGAGAAGTGGTTCAGTTAAATGTAAGCCACGTGTCTTTGCACAGAAAAAGTATGCGCGAAATGTGCAATCATCGCACACGCTCATAAGTTGGGTTATGTGTTACCAATTTCCATGAGCATCTATTGATTTTCCTGATTTTTTACTTTCACGACCGAAACACAAAAATTATAAACGCAAAATATTACAACCAAATGAATAGAAAAATGAAAAACATTCAATACCCACGTTTTTCCTCGACTTTTTTCTACTAAAAATATTTCTTTCACGTTCCTCTCAAGATATCTGCCTCTCTCAGTGGTTGATGGAACATTCTAGAACAATCTACAATGTACAACGTAAGCCACAGTATCAAGGCTAAAATTCACACGCTTCCAAAGCGCGCTATTTGTGTTGGTGAGTTTCGTCAAGTTCTCAACGACGCAAAGTGACACTGCATCTCCATTGGTAGCTGTCAAATGTTGGCTGAGCAAATTCAGAGCTCAATTCAAAAATGTCGGTTAAATTCATGCAAAACTTTCTTTTTCAAATTCCAATTTGGTCAAAGAAATGTTCTGAAACCAAACGTGGTGCTCTATGAAAACGAATTAATTTCGAATCAACAATCTGTGATGATTGAGTAAAAGACATGGAAGTAGTGGAATTTTGATTCTACCGCTAACATATTTTTTTGTCACTTGTCCGGAGTAAACGAGTTTTACTGAATATTCATTGAGACATTTGCAACGATACAGAATGAATGGCCGAAAATCGAAAGCAATGTCAAAGGGAAAACGATGGACATTTTGGTGTGTACACTCCAAATGATCGAAACATTTAGTCAATCAATAACAAACTCATTCGTTGTGTTTATGTTGCAATGTGAACAAATTAGCATCGCAGAATTATTCATGTGAAAATATGAAAAACGAATACTATTACAAACTCTGGCTCTCAACAAATGCATACACACAGAAAAGAATCCCCGGAAATTTTAGGTGTTCGCCGTAAAATTTGACATTTATATATAAATTTCTATATACATTTTACCGGCAACACTTCAATTCGAGAGCTGCGTCTAAGGCAAACTACATGCTACTAGCGCTACACTGAAATACATTTGATTTGCATTGAACACGTAAGCGGTGGGAGTTCGAACTATCAAATTACAACAACAAATTACACAGATAGGCGCATCCCTCGCTTCAATTTTCCGGGCGATGACATATTTTCGAACATTTTATCAAATACTATATATATTTTACCGCTTGAAATGACAGATGGCGCTAATTTCTGTTGGAATATTTGAAATTATGTCATCACCCGGAAAATTCAAGTGTTGCCGGTAAAATGTATCAGATGAAAAACCTCTAGACGAGGTTAAAATGGAGTGACGCTCCTGTGCGTGGATTTACCACTCAAAATGACTGATATCATTTTGAGTGACGCTTTGACGCTGTATTACCTCTGGTTACGAAGTTCGGAAGTGTTTTTCGCATTCACTATTGTAAAAATTTACTTACAATAAGGAAAAACATCGCGTCACAAGTTTTGAAAATAGCATATTTCCACTTTCATTAAAAAAAGTTCCATTTTCCCCTTATTGGACATTGTAAAATGTGATTAAATTTCAAAATATCCATTAAAAGAGTTTTGAAATAATTTTTGACTCATTACTTTATTGAAACATATTAGTTCCCAACCACCAAAGCTCTGGAAAGTGCATTTTTTTTTGTATCCCCCGAGCAAAAGTTCAATTTCATACATTCAGATGCCAAAATGCCGATTTATGACCAAAATGACAACGAAATGGATATTCAAGTGTTCGTGGACTCCCATTATTTTCACGAAAAAATAGCAGTTTTCTAAGACCAAAATGTCGTCAGAGGTCTATTTCACGTGTTTTCCGAACAAAAATGTCATTTTCAGTGAAAATAGAGCAAGTTGAAAAATTCACTTCAATCCGACCTATTTTTCGACCATGAAAAGGCCTCAGATCGCATTGTGACCACTTTTAATCGATTGCTCGTCGAAAATTGAGCGGATATGGTCTTTCGTGAGCCTTTTTCAGGCAGTAGATGCGTATTTTTGGCAGCAATTTCATCGTATAATGCGACTCTTCGTACAAATTCCGTTCATTGATGAATTGCCTATGCCCAGAACTTCGAAATACCAATTTTCCCGGATATGTGGCATATGTCATTTTGTTGGTATGGTGGCCGGCTACAAACTCTCAGTTTTTGGTAAAAGATTGTCGGGGTGATTTTTGAGAAATCGCGTTTGGTGTGAAATTTAAGGGGGTCGTTTGTTCATAAAAATCGTCTTTTTTCTTTTATATCACATAAACATTGGCATGTGTGTATGGAACTTTTTGAAGGCCTTCTCAAATAATTACGAGCTGACTTTGCCCGATGGGTATCTGAGTTGATCTAGTCACTAGATTCTAGTGCGCGAAATAAATACTTGAAAAAATCGTATACATGCAGGCTAGCGAAGCGATAGCCAGCTCTCCTGTAATGCAAATGTCAATCTGAGGACGGATTTCAACGTGCCCCGACACTAGCTACAACTAAGGCATATGCGCATCGGAAACCGAAGAAGGTACGGACAGACGAACGAACGAACGGACGCACAAATCAATACTTTCATAAAAAATCAAGATCAAACTGCCAATGCCCATAACTTTTTCGTTTTTGGACCAATCGGGGCACTTTGACCGGCGTTGGAAAGGTGGCAAGGAGGAGCTTCTCTTGAACACCTCAGACTACCCCATGGGTACCCCCTTCGTAAGATATGGGTATAGATTTGAAAATTTATCGAAATTTTCCAACCGCTATATTTTTGCCTAGACCACACTTAAGGCATGGGGGATATGGTGTTTCCGACTATTTGGGCCAAGACCTTTCCAACGGTACCTAACATGCCGGGGCCCAAATAGTGCCCTGAGAAAATAGCATACTTACTGTATAAATACTCGTGACGCAAAAACTGGCATTTTTGATATTTGGCTTGAAATGCACAGTCTATGGAGCGTCACTTGTCGGACTATCGTCCTCCGTGATATAGAAATTTATATAAAAATGTCAAATTTTACGGCGAACACCTAAAATTTCCGGGGATTCTTTTCTGTGTGTAGAATTAAAATGAAAACAAACCAATTCACAGTACATGTAATTATAAATCACAACCTGCTATCCGCTTCGTTTGCTAATATTTCTGAAAAAAAAGAAGCTATCGTATTGCCGAATAAAATCGAATTCAGGCTGACGACGAGATTGAATTCATTATGCTTTTGTGAGGAAAATCTATGTGAATTGAATTCATTAATTCTGTTCTAATCTATTGTTGTTATGAACCAATCCATAGATTGAAGAAGAGTCGCATCGGAAGAACATGGTTTTGTTCGTGATCGAAAATACAGAGTCTGTAGTGTGACATTTCTTGAAGTTTCGGCAAGGAATTGAGCAAATGGACAAGAAATTAGAAATCAATTCAAATCATAGGCTAGCGGTCATAAGTCCACAAAATTGTCCATCCATCCATTCATCCATTGATTTATCCATCCATTCAACATATGAATGGATGGATGGACAATGGATGATGAATGGATGATGAATGGATGATGAATGGATGATGAATGGACGATGAATGGACGATGAATGGACGATGAATGGATGATGAATGGATGATGAATGGACGATGAATGGATGTATGGATGGATAGTTAATATGAAGAACAAAATGACCGATTCGTCAAGAAGGTCAAACTGCAGAGTGAATGGATGGACGGATGGATGGATATTTAATATGAAGAACAGAATGACCGATTCGTCAAGAAGGTCGAACTGCAGAGTGAATAGATGGATGGATGGATGGATGGATGGATGGATAGTTAATATGAAGAACAGAATGACCGATTCGTCAAGAAGGTCAAACTGTAGAGTGAATGGATGGATGGATGGATGGATGGACAGATGGACGGATGGATGGATG